AATGTGTGTAAAAATGCAACCCTCTGGTAAAACTGCAACCATTTTCGAGTTTAATGGCACCTGTGTGAGTTATAATTTCACAAATTTAAAAAATGCTTGAAACGTTTATATATGCAAGAAAATGCATATAACCGTCAGCAAAAAAAAAAATAAAATAAAAACCTGTGCAGATTTTAAGACTGTATGTAATTCAAACTTGCTCCTATCATATTACATTAAAGTTGAACTAAAGACCTCGGATTTTTTTTAGTTCTGATTAAAAAGTTTAAAACTATGTATGTATAATGAAATTTTGTAGAAGTTTGCGGATCTTTTAAAAATTTTCATACAAAGTTTGAAATTTTGATATGGTTGTTGTTATATAAATAGCTATACGTTTATAAAAAAAATAATTAACGTTAAAGAAACGAAAGCAAAATACTAAAATATTGGACTGATATTATTTTGACCATAGGTACACTTGTACATATGAGGTTGAGGCCTAGTGTAAGCTCCAATCTACCGAAAATGAGGGTTTTTATAATAATTTGTTTGTTGAGTGTATTACGCATTTTTACAAATAAATTTGTCGAACATACATGAATGGGAGGAAATCCATGAAAAAAATTGCCAAAAATCAATTTAAAACATAAAAGTTGTTTCTAGAATTCTTATTAAAAGTTTGCAAGTTAGATGAAACATTGAAGAATTTTCATAATTTTTGCACAAACTTTTAAACTTGGATTTTATTAGAAGATGAACTATACTTAAAACATAAAACATTAAATAAAAAGGAACAGTCCAGCGCCTTCGTCTTGGTCTGCTGTATCGGAGATACAGCCGCTAAATTTAAACGTAGAATACGTTGTATGGTTAAGATCATATCCAAGTCAAAAACGAAAGCACACACTAAGAAAAAAGTATCGATAACAAAAGCGATAACAATATCGATAGCAAATCGATAAATATATCGATAACAAAATCGATAGCAAAATCGGTAATAATATCGATAGCCAAATCGAGAACAAAATCGATGAAAAATTGATAACAAAATCGATAAAACAACCGAAAACGAAATCGATAAAAAATATCGACAAAAAAATCTATAAAAATATCGATCATTATATCGATAAGTTGCGAAAATATCGATAGCAAATCGATAAATATATCGATAACAAAATCGATAAAACAACTGAAAACGAAATCGATAAAAAATATCGACAAAAAAATCTATAAAAATATCGATCATTATATCGATAAGTTGCGAAAATATCGATAGCAAAATCAGTAACAATATCGATAATAAACTCGATAAAAATATCGATAACAAAAGCGATAATAGTATCGATAGCAAAATCGTTAACAGAATTAATAAAAATATCAATAACAAAACCGTTGTTGTTTCACTTCAAAATGTTTTCGCGTATTATGCATACATGTGTTCATACATATATGTATGTACATTAGGGTGGCCATTAAAAATGAAATTTTAAGTCTCACCCCCTCAGTCGCTAATACAACGGTCAAAGATATCACATATAAATTTTAGTCCCGATTGGAGACGGTTAAGGCGTGTCGCACAGGGGTCAAAGTTCAGATTCCTCTATGGAGACTCAAAAAATTTAAATTAATTTTTGTTCATCTAATACCCAAAATCGATACTACTGTAGGCGCAGATATCACGTAAAAAAGTTGGTCCTGATCGGAGTCGGTTAAGGCGTGTTGCACAGGGGTCAAAGTTCAAATTTCCCTATGGAGACTCAAAAAATTTAAATACATTTTTTTTTTCATCTTACCCTACTCAAGTCGGGACCAAAATTTATATGTGACATCTTCGACGTTAGTAGTATCGCTTTTGGGTATTACATGAAAAAAATATTAATTTAAATTTTTTGAGTCTCCATGGAGGAATCTGAACTTTGACCCCTCTGCGACACGCCTAAACCGTCTCCGATCGGGACCAAAATTTTTATGTGATATCTTTGACTATATTAGCATCGATGTGGGGGTTGAAGTTTTGGAAATCTGATGTAATAATGTACTTAATACATTTAAGGACCACCCTAATGTACATATATGTATAATATGTATAGATATACATAGATTACTAAAAGATCGATATTAACTGCAATCAACATATGTACGAATATATGTATTTACATATGTACATACGCTGCGATTAGGTTGTAAATATTGCGCCTTCTGTTTATTAAAAGCCGTAATATGTAATAACGCACACATACATACTTTTTGTCTCCTTCCCTCACTTCCAACGCATGCACGTGTTTGTAAAACGATGACGAAGTGATTTTGTATGGGAAATCACTTATGCCCATATATTTGAATCAAATAAACATACTTAGAAGATATCAACCAATACTTCCCATATACCAAACCAAAGAAAACTCTTGAGTTTTTGATTAAAGAAAATAAAAACCAAATCATTCGAGCAGTTTTCGAGCATTTTGGTAATAAAAAAAATTTGCAAAATTTTCAAAAAAATGTTGCCTTAAAATGCTCAATATTCGTTGAATTTATATAAAATCTGTACACGATAATATTTCTATTGCTTCAAAGAGTCTATATCCCGAAAATGAAAGTTATATCTGCAAATCATAAGCTGCTGGAGCACTTTAAAGGCGCAAAATTTACCCCAAAAATAGGGCAATATTTACCGTTGTTTCTAGGACTGACACCGAATCGGTTACTTAAATAAATGTATCTGTCGATAGGCTTTGAATTTTATATGTGAAATGCCATACTTTGCTTTGAAATCGCTTCATTAGTACTCGTGCAATAAGCATTTTCGTGAAGCTCTAAAAATTACAACTACAACATTTCAGCATAGCCTCCATATCGTAAGGTAAGACGTATTCTACGTCAAAAAAAAATTTGCAGCTATTTTAAAAATGTCGCGTCCCTATTTTTTTCCACCACTATATAAGTGGATATTTGAATTTGATCCCAATAACAAAGCCTTTTATTTTTATATACATACGTATATTTATCATAGTTTTGTAATATTTGTATCCTTTGGCATTAAAAAGGTTGAACCATTTGAACCGAACCGAACCGCGGTTCAGGAATACTCATGGATCGGTTCTTGAACCGCTACAAGCTTTTTCTAAGTGGTTCGAACTACTGAACCGAACCGTACCGTTTTTTGGAGAGATTTTCAGCCCTGCTTACGACTTGATTAAATACTAAATAGCTGTTATTTACTCAGTGTAAAAATAGAGATTCGAGATTTTTGAGACCTTTCTGGGACTTTCGAGACTGCTTCGGAATGTTTAGGACTTTCGATAATCGATACATTTGTTAGAGACTATTTCGGTATTTTCGGCTACTTCGGCGTTTTTGGAACTATTTCAGTATTATCGGTATTCTAGAAACCATTTCGGAGTTTTCCAGACCACTTTGAGATTTTTACGGGATTCTCGGGAGTATGTATTTCTGGATTCTCGGAACTATTTCGGGATTTTCAAAACTATTTCGGCATTTTTTGGACGTTCGGAACTATTTCTGAGACTATTTCTAAGTTTTCAGGACAATTTCGGGATAATCGGAACTATTTCACGATTTTTGAGACTATTTGGGTTTTTTCGTTTCTACCAAAAAAAGTGGCCCTTTCACGGTGCAAAATGTGTCTGATGTTCCACTCGACCCTGTAAAACGGCATGTTTTTGCCATTCGTCTTTGTCCAGCTCACGCATTTCATAATATTATCGTTTTAAGCAGCCATCTGATTTTCAAGGCAACCATCTCCCCTGACAAAGCCTCAAAGGGCGTAGAATGTGCCTTTTTTGCCTTACAAGAGTGTGAAATTTTAAGAAACAAACACAAAATTTTTACACTGTTTGCCCTTATTTTATAATCGAACACGAGAAATAAAAGGGGCAATCAAAATGCGAAATTTTTGGGTAGAAACGAAAACCACCATAAATATATCTCAAAATTTAGCAATAAAAAATCGATTATATCGGTAAATATATAAATAAAAATATCGATAAAAATATATAGATAACAATATCGATAATAATATCGGTAACAATAGCGATTACAAAACAATTTGTTCATTAGTTCTAAGATTTAATTGTATATGAGAAAGTGGCTAGCACTATAAGATAATGTTTAAATTGCTGTGCTAAGATTAAACATGTAAATAAATGCAAATAAATACAAATACAACATCGAAAAGTATAAATATTTCAAAATCGATAAATATATCGATATCAAGATCTATAAATACATCGAAAATTGCAAATCGTTCCGAGATCATAAATCCCGGGAATCCCGAAGTACTTTCGTAAAAGTCCCGAGAATTCCGAAATAGTCCTGAAAATCCTGATTTAGTCCCGAGGTGTTGTAAGAACGAGTGTAATTAGCTCAGTTGTGGTGAATTTAGGTGTGGTAGCATCAGCTGTGGTGATTTTAAGTGAGTTAGTTGTGTGCTGTGAGTTGATTTTAGGTGTGGTGAGTGTAAGGTAGGGTGTCAATTGTTCAAATCTGTCTTAAATCATAAGGTATTTGGTTTGTAAGTATTTAGACATCGACTAAACATCTTAGTACTTAAGTGAAGGTATTTTTCATCTTCAAAGTACCTGACTACTTTGGACCAAAGTATTTAGCGCCTGCTAAATACTTTCATTTTTTGTACTTTAGTATCTCTTAAACACTCAAGTTTTTCTACTTGAGCATTTGGCGAACTTCTAAATGCCTTAGTTTTGTTTACTTGAATATTTAAACATCTCCAAATTTTAAGTATTTGAGTATTTAGTACCCACACTGTTACTTTAAATACAAAAGTACTTAATTAGGTATGCCCATCACTGCTACATATAAACATATTTAGAAATAAGTATGATCGTGGTGGCCTAGACAGACGAAATAGAGATTTTAAACACTAATTATCGTTAGTAATTAAGTAACCCTAGTTCGCCCTATGACTTTCTACATTAACTGCATTCGTATGTATGAATATGTGAGTACAATGGCATAGTAATTAATGTTTTAATCTCCAGCCTCTACGTAAACTTAAAGTACTTGATTTACATGGCAATCAATTGGAAACTCTAAAAAGAAATCAGTTCAAAAATTTGAGATCTGTGGAAGTTTTAGATATAAGTTTTAATAACCTTAAAAAACTTGAAGCACAACATATAGCAGACATGACCAAGCTGGGATGGTGTAATGCGTCTCATAATGCACTTACAGAAATTTCCAGGTAAATAATTATACATTTGCTCTACATATAACACAGTGCAACAAGATGCTATGTATTTGATAAAACCAACAGTAAACGCGTTATGCCAAAAAGAGTTTTTGCCTATAGATATGGTTTTTAACCGACTTCAAAAAAAGGAGGAGGTTACCAATTCGTCGGAATATATTTTTTTTATGTATGTTACCGCATAACTTTGGAGCACGTCAACCGATTTCTACAATTCTTTTTTTTTTTTTAAAGGAAATGTGTTACTCCAGAGGCAGTTTCATACTAATTTGGTTTATATATGATCATTGGATCTTGAAGAAATTAACGAAAATCTTAAATTTTTATGGGAATTGAATTCGGTTTTGTTTTTTGCTTAACAATTACTTGTGAGCATACGTATGTATTTCGTGCTTTTTATGACAAAAAAAAAAACGCTTTTATACGGAAATTTTGTATGAAGAACATAAAAACATATAAAACATTTTACACAAAAATTTTTTTCCTGACAATGCTATACATATGTATGAAGAACATAAAAACATATAAAACATTTTACATAAACACTTTTTCCTGACAATGCTTTTTTTTCCAACAAAAATAATAAAATGATTTCTCAACCGTTAAAACAGTCAAAATACTATTCTTTCTATAAAAACCCACAACAAAGAGTAATAAAAATTGTTCTACACCTAGCGCCACCTAGCGCAAGTTTTAGGCAAAAATTCAAAAATGAATTCCTCGACCGCTAGAACAGTAAGTTAACACAAGGCAACAGTGATTTTAAGTTAAGTTAAGGCAAATGTTAAAGCTGTTTTTGATAAACTTTTTTGTGCTGACTACGAATTCGCATGCCTAAAGTTTGCATCAGCTCCAGATTTTGAGAAAAATAAGGTCAAAGTGTCAAAAAATCGCGTTTTGCAATATTTTAGAAGGTCTAGCAAAAAAACAAAAGGTGATAGAAGCTTCCACTTAGGCTTAAAATAAAGTTATAACTCTCGGTTACTATCCTTGAAAATACCACCTCTGCACCTTGACTTGATGGTCACTAATAGTCATTTATTGAACAATATAAAAATACTGGAATACTATGCAATTGAAAGAAAAAGTAAGTTGTGCCAAAATCATTATATGCTGTTAAATAAATAACTATGAGTGACCTTAGGGTTTTGGTTCAGGGATGGCATTTTAAGAGATTATAGTCGAAAGTTCAAGCCCTAATTTCAGCTTACAGGCCTATTCTGCGTTGGTAACAAAAATTTTGTTACCTGTAAATAAAGTTCCTGGTAAACCCTGTTCGCGTTCTGCGCACTGGTAAATTTGGTTACCATCTTATAAGCAGGTAACAAAACATTGCCCTGTGAAGTATGCAACACCAGAATTTATACAAAGCTTCATAGCTAGGTTAGCAAGGTACTTAGAATTGCGGTTACAAGAAGTGTTGTTATTATTCCTTTACAAAATTTTCCTGTGTCAAAATGTTCGGTAACAAGCAGAATACGCCTGTAAGGGCCGGTTGTTCAATGTGTGGTTATCACTACTTGCCGGTTAAACATCATTATCGACGTTTTCGACATCATGCCTAAAGCATGTGATCGATAAAACAGTCGTTGTACTTAACCAGAGCTTCTACCTCCGATTAGTGTTAATCAGACATTGAACAACCGGCTCTAAGTGGAAGGCTATATCACCTTTTGTTTAATTGCGGTGGGTACTCAACCTTCACACAAAATCAGGTTTTGCTGGTCAATAAATGACTATAAGTGACCATCAAGTCAGAGTGCAGGGATGGTGTTTTCAGGGATAGTAGTAGAGACATTTAGCTTTATTATAAGCCTTATATTGCCTTTTGTTTCTTTGGCACTTTGAACCTGTGTTGCCAGGTCTTCTGCATGAGAAAACGTCCCTCTTGGTCCGAAAAAACGTCATTTCCTACCCAAAAACGTCTTTTTGAAATGAATGTACAAAAACTGTTCTTATTAAACTTTCATTTTATACAAAGGTACATATGTACGTAAGGTATATTAAAATGTCATTTCGACAGAGCACATTTAGAATGCATTGTAAACTGGTTTGAGATCGTTAATATAAAAATGATTTTATACATACACTTGTGATCAGCTGATTAAGTCATCAACATTTTGATCGATTTTGGCTGTTTTTCGATTGTTTATTTAATGTTTATTATTTTTCCATAAAAGCCAAGCTCATTTTATAACAAACAAAATATAAATCCACATTTCATTTCACTTGTGCAAAAATTATAAAAAATCTGCAAATTTCAGCTATATTTTCAACTTTTTATTCAGATTTTTTAGAATTTTTTTAAGTATGCAGTTTGATAGCCCACTAAATTTCAAGTTTAAAGGAGCTACATAATCGCGTTGATTTTTAATAATTTTTTTTTCTTGTAGACATTTGGTTAGGGGGTCGGTTGTCGAAAATGCTAAATTACTTCTGCTAAGAAGGAGCATAGCAATATTTCAACCNTTCTCAGCGGTGAAAAATATACTATTGTAAACAACATAAACGAGCGAAGTTCACAATAGCGTTATTCTTCGTCGAATGAGCGCCATAATACCAAATGAAAATTCGTTCGATCAGCACTTTCGACCACAGTCGAAGATCGAATGTAACTCATAATAAGGGCCAATATTTCAGCGTTTTTTGCATTCATTACACTTTCAATGAAGTCTTAAAAAAGTCGCCTACTTTTTTCTGACTATTTATGCTGTTACAGCTTTTTGATGCTTTTGCGAGCGTGCGTGTTGCAATAGATCAGCTTTTCCTGATTTGGCTTTTAATGAGCAATTGTAAACATTACAATAAGTCTCGTACCTCAAGTGTTTACACAACCAGCCTTTGTCCAAGAATCCAAAAAAATGCGCGTATACATGGTTTGTATCATATTTAAGTCATCTCTGTCCAAAGAATAAATATCTTTTGAAGCAGCTGCTGCAAAACACAAAGCTTTTAAATATTTATTAAGAAAGTAATTCAAAACCAGTTCTACGTACAAGATTAAGTAACAGAGAAAAATTACTGGGAAGTTAAAAAACGTAAATTTTTACACAAAAAACGTCCAAACGTCAACAGGATACAAAAAACGTCCAAATGACGTTAAAAACGTCAACCTGGCAACGCTGCTTTGAACTTCGTTTTGNGGATACAAAAAACGTCCAAATGACGTTATAAACGTCAACCTGGCAACGCTGCTTTGAACTTCGTTTTATCAAAATCTTGAGCTGATGGAAACTTTATACTCACGGATTCGTAATCAGCACAGAAAAGTCAATCAAAATCAGCTTTAAAATTTGCCGCAACACAATTTTTCCCCATTTTTGTTCCCTTGTGTAATCGTATCATACCTTTCCAGAAGAATTCCAGAGAAAAATATTATTTGATCCTCTCAATTTCGATGTTGGTATTTCCAACAGGGTAGGAGTATGATACGTTGTAGAATGATTTTCCGTAGGGATGTGCGATTAATCAATTAATCAAACAAGCTGATTAATCGAAAGCCGGTTAATTAATTAATCAAATAATAATTACTTTTGATGAATCAAAATGAATAATTTCCGATAAATTAGATACATATTGATTTATCAGAATCTAATTAATTTGATTAATCAGCAAACTGATTAATCATAGCCTGACTAACCAGAAATCTGTGTAATTGCTATTATATTTTGTTTTACATACATACATACATATGTATGTATACAAAAATAGAAAAAATTTATACAAACGTATGTATATATGTATACCATATATGTTAGGTCGGTGTTATGCAGACAAACTTTTGTTTGCCAAATTAAATGGCGGCTGCTTAGTTTGCTCGGAGGTGGTTATGTCGAGTTTGGCACAGGGTTGCACGTTCATTATGGTTTTCATGGCTATTGCCAACACGAAATGAGAATTTCAGATGTACATAACGCTCAAAATTTAAAATTTTTGTATATGACAACACCGAATTTGCTGCAGTTTGACCAAACAAAATTAGTTTGCTGTGAGAGTCGCCAAACTCGCTCTCTCCGAGTTTGCTGCAACAACAATGGCACGCAGTTTGCCAAACAAAATTTCTGCATAACACCGA